GTTCACATGCCTTTCAAAGAGTAGTTCACATGCCTTTTGAAACATCAAAATATAGAGCTAACATATGGCAACAATATAGACAACAATATAGAGAGTATATTTAGGCCCCCAACTTAAATATTCCAAGCATGAAACAACTTCCAATAATAGTTTAAACAAAGTGATGCCTCGAGGTGTTAAACCCAACCACCAAAATAAATTACAAGACTTCTTGAATTAAATAAATCCTCCCATAACATATATTTCAAGCAAGGAAGAGGATAAGAAACCAAAGCCGAGCCCCCAAACATGCATGAAAGACCAAACAAACTCTCCAATATCTCATGTTAAATAAGAATAGATGAAAAGCCTCATAATACATATCCCAACATGCTTGCAAGAGGAGCCAACATCAGCTCAAAGCTACATTTTCAATTATTCCAACTTGCTTTTGAACAAAAAGAGAAAAGAGGAGCTAGCATCGTCTCAAAGCCACATTTCAACCTTCTTATTCACAATAATAGAAATATGCCATAGTTTTACCATTTTAAGCAATGAGGGAAAAGAGAAAAGCCGATAACATGCTATACTTCTATCCTTCTAAACAGGTAATCAAACCTAGTCCTTAAAGTATGCTTGCATTTCTATTCCTAAATGCTTGAGTATCATGTATTCAAAAATATAAGTGTCAACTAAGTCAGCATGCTGTATCACCCATCACACCGAGCTAACAGGGGCTCGACAGGGCAAAATCGAAAAAATGGCAAGGCACAAAAGGGGAAAAGAAACCTCCTTGAAGCAAAAGAAAGTAACACAGGAACTTTAAAGGCACTCCCCAACTTCAACTCCTCCAACAGCTAGAGGAAACAAATTCAAGCACCAGAAAATTAAAGAAGTGAGAAAAGAAAATGACAGAAAAGAAAAGAAAATGACAGAGTTTCCTCCCTTAGAGATTTTCAGCATAACCCCAGGGCTACAAAACCAAGCTCTAATATACACCAGAGAAGGAGAAGAATGATTAAGAAGATATGGCAGAAGGATTGAGCGCAAAGGATACGATCCTCGTGTGAGGCCACGCTCTGCGGAGGGTCGAGAGCAGAGGATACGATCCTCACAAAGGATAGGATCCTCAGCAATGATAAGAGGATGGGTCGCCTGCGAGGTTGTCTTGCGTGCGAAAGGAACGAGCGCGGGGACGAAACGCCAACGACACGAAGGAGTGGGTCAGGTGAAACGGAGCGAACCGCAGTTAGGTCAGAGGTCCATGAGCGCGAGAGGAAGAAACGGGAGAGGGGAAATAAACTAGGTTAAGGACTTTTTTAACATAAGTTATTAATTATAATAAAAATAATAATAATATATTATTTATTATTATAATTAACACTTAAATATGTCTTTTCCCCAAGACGTGCCGTCGCAATGAAACGAACGTCCCCTCTAGGCAAAATCGATGTTCCGAACACATCGACGCAATCTGTTGCGTCATCCGGAGTTGTTTAGATGACCTCGTCGACGATTGAGACGAAAACGCGTCGTGACCCAAATCACGTCAAAAACTCGGCTCGAATTCGATTAAATAGGACGGCGAAGAGCGCGACGGCGCCAAATCAACGAGTACAGTCAATCCTAAGGCCGGCAGTCATATAGGAATACTCCTTAATTTCCTTCAGAGTAGTCTTACCTTCTAAGCAATAGCGGTCAAAACTACTATATGGAACGTCAAGTCGAGCGAAGAAAAGCTCAGAATTGCTAACGGGGAGGGCTCCTTCACTAGTTTTCTAGGAGTAGTCGACAGAAAGGTCCTACGGCTAGATCATAGACTACTAAGGAGGGGAAAACTGCACCTCGATCGAAAGCGAGGTCAACAGCCATAGATCGCTACTAGCCTCCTCCCAGTGGGCCGCCATCACTCCTATGCCATCCAGTGCCGCAGCCACCAACTACCATCCACCTTCTAGCATTGTCGCCTCTTCCTTCCTACCCTTTTGGGCCTGCTGCTCTCTTCTAGAGAGTTGTTTATGTGTTTTGTGTAATTTTCTCTCACTTTGCAGTGTCGTCGTTATCACTTACGGTTTGCATGTTTGTGTTATTTTATGTTCATGATTTGTCGTTGTAACATTATAAATTCAGCAATAAAATTTGTTGTTCGATCATGATTTGGGTTAAATCCGATATCACAGCTTATTGTAGCACCCTAAAGAACATGCTACAACAAAACAACATTCATACAAGGGTTACTGAGTTCTTGAAAATAAAAGTTCTTAAGTGACCCAAATCCATTGGAATTTGTTTAATAAAGAAAAGATAATTATTGATTTTATAAAAGCTTGAACCAAATTGAATGTTCCAGTTTGGTTGAATATATTGATAAAAAAATAAAGAAAAAAAGAATTCATCATCATTTTTCTTAAAGATGTGAATATGTATGTTGCTTTATAACTCAATTTTTTCTTACCCTTTAATTATTTGTACCCTCCAACGCCAAGGAAAAAATATCCATCACGTTAAATCATTAATTATGTTCACTCTCAAATCCCAATTCATACATCCACACACCTCTCACCTGTTGTTTTCTTCTCTCAGAGCTATCAAGATGGTCCTTATAAAAGAGTTTATTTTCACATATACGTTTATGAATAGCGCATAGACTAAATGCATATTGCCTTCATAGTATCCATGCTTTTTCTTAAAAGTAAAAATAATAATTTCTTTTATTTTGAGATTCAAGACAAAAAATAGATAAAAATCCTCTAAGCCAAAATAAAGTAAATTGAAACCAAAAGAATGATTTTCTTACAGGATATTGTGGTTTGACATAAACTTTCTACAGATCAATAATAATGACTTCGTTCAAAAAAATAAATAAATAAATAAATCAATACTAATAATGCTCAGGTTTACCAGCACATCTCTAATCAAATCCTAACTCATATAAACCTCTCCTCCCCTAACTTGTCAGCATTTATCAATCCTTTGTTCAATCCCACCAAGTTGCAATGCTTAGCCCACCTTGGATTCTCTCTACTCCTTCCTTGTGGGTTTTCTTTTCCATGTTCAAAGTTCCCTCCCATTTTGAAAACCCTTCTCCTCAGGTGCTAGCTGCACCTGCATCCTATCCTCCATGTTCCTCACCATTTATGCAACTTCTCCCTGCGAAAGCTGCCACTCTTCTCTACTATCTCTAATGTCCTCACATTAGCATCCATCACAAAATTCATTTTGTTGCCACCCATCTTCTTTATTTGTTTTTTGGCTCCTTAGTATTGTTGGTGTGACTGCCCTCACATGACCCACATAGAGCAACCGCGCCATTCACTATGACTGCTTGGTCAAAGCCTGGGTAAGTGAGATGGAAAGCAAAATAGATTCAACTATGGTTTGATTCATATAACTCCAGGTACAAACCAGTCTGATTTTACTTTGAATCAATGTTATTGAAATCAAATCCTCACAATCCCAGCCATATCCACCTAATTTATTAGCAGCTCTGGCAAAAAAAAATAATAAATTAAACCAATAACAATGGGAATGAAACAAATATAAAGCATAGGGGATCTAAGAGGGAAATGACAGCAGCCTATGACTAAAAGTGTTTTATAAGTGTGAACATATTATATGAGACAACAAATGCAAGCAAAAGCTGATGAAAAAGACAAAGTTCAATCTATTAAAATTGAAGACCGAATAAAGCTCTACAAAAAATACATCTATATAACTAATTCAACGACATGAGACAGAAGTCAACCAAGCTTAAATACCTAAAATGAAAATGACTGAGGCCCCTAATCAGATGTATTTTGCAAATAGTTATAAACAACGCAAAGAAAAAAATCCAAGAGAAAACAGCTTAAGTTCTTCACTCACAATTAACCGGCATATTTCATGTTCAATCTTTGAAAATGTTGTTTCTATGGCTTCCACACGTCCCGTTGCATGACAACAAGAGCATGGCTCACTAATCATGAATGTAACACTGGGACGAACCTGGAAAAAGAATTATCAGCTAAAGAATGTTAGCATGCACCAATATGTACATGACCCAAAACACCAATTTTTCAGCCAGATAATTGTAAATAAAATCAACTATATAAACTTTCTCACTTTTATTACTTTTGACTCCAATATGGTTACATAATAAAAAAATAAACCAGCAACACCACAGTTGAATCATGATTGAAAGCTGATATACCTCACATAAAGTATAGGGCTTATCTTAGTATTTCTATATTAATGACCAAAAAGCTAGACCAGTAGTAAATAAAGTGGCCCCAAACTTTGAAAGATATATGTTTTTATTTGTCACATATTGTTCACAGGCATGGATATTTGAACATTGCATCATATAGGCACTTGTCATCATATGATATTGAAAAAGTAAAATTTACATATGTAGCACACAATTCTTAGGTATTTACATATCTCCTAAACATTCATATGTACATAGCACTTTAGCTCTTTAAACCTACACATAATATGTGTAGTTCACTTTTAAAAAACAATAATACTGCTGTTTTTTATGTGATATTGAAGATCTGAGTGCTATGTGGAACTTCATCCCTATTAGGTGGCCCAAATTGCCGGTCATATGGGACCCACAGGTTCAATTTGTGGATGTTATTAGAGATAGTTTCCTATTTGAGCTTTTTTTTTTTCTTCTCTTATAATGTTGTATGTCTTTCCTTCTTTGCTTGTTTTTTTATTTAGTAAGTTAAAATAGTCTTTGTTATGTTTGACCTAGCTGGCCCCCATATAATTAGGGAAAAGGTTGTAACTTGGGTTTGAGGGAATAAGAGAATATAGCTTCTCCACCTTTCTTCACTATGTGTATATATTAAAGTTTAGGTGTGAGATAGGAAATACATAAGAATTGTGTGCTACATATGTAAATGCCCCTTCTAAAAATTAGGGACCACATAAAAAAGCCTCATGCGTACACCTACACAGAAGTATATAGATGCATATCATTATAGAACTGTTACTATATGTGTCTTTGTTATTTTAAATGATAAACAGGATTGGTATATTTTTACCCTTATTTAATTTTAGGGCATCACGAAGCTAGTAACGTGATCAAAACTGAAAACAAAAGAACGGTTTGATGCTCCGAAGATTAGTTACCCTCTTTCTAGTTATTTCCATCAATCCATGCTTGGATAGCTCGGACACTTTGACCATCGAATGGTCTCTCTCAACTGCCTTCTTCATCTCCTCATAAACTAATCTCTTATTTGCTGAAAAGTCAAAAATAGTTATAACCCAAGAAAAGGAGAGCTGAAAATAAAATTACATAGAATCATTTAATAAATAACAAGAACTAAAAAATCATTCATAGCATTTAACAAGCTGATGGCTAACAAACCTCTATAGCAAGAAATAAAGGCTAGGATGCTAAATTCTTGCTCAAATGAGACTGATCACACCAGATAACTGGCAAAAATTTCCAAAAACCAGCCATTGTTTATATGTTGAGAAAGTTCTACACCGTTTATTAGAACACATGAACAGTCAAACTTGTTCAAAAAAGAAACAAGATGTCAGGATAAGGGGTTGGGTCAAATTTTGAAATTTAAAGACCTAACAATGGCAGCCTACTTGTGGCGATATATCATAGACCAACTATTTAGGCAGTTTAACCATTTAAATTAACAATTTCATTAAGTAATATGGCATAGACTGTACATAAACAGCAAAACAACTCCCTCCACATAGGAACATCACTCCAATTATCCCTAACAGGCTTCCAAAATATTGAGTTTCAAATTTTAGGAAAGAAAACTTCTAAGGCCATGTAATGGAGAGCAACATCAAGCCCCAAATAAATCCTTCCAAATAAAAGCAGTGTCTCTTGAATCACAGAGCATCACTCTTAATTTTCATAGCAAACCTCCAAATGTTTTCAAGAATCAAATTTAAGGAAAAAAAGATCATTTCACAGACAATGGTTAGAGTCAGTTGTTGAGTTGCAAAACCCAACATAACTATGAAAAATATCCATCAAAATTTCCCCTTTTAGTTCCGCCTCGATCAATGTTTCATACGGCCCAACAATCATCGACCTTTCCCAATCATTTCATGGCATCTTAGTAGTCCATGGGATTATTATTGTCAACTCATCAATTCATAAAGGATTGTAATTATTCTATAATTATCGTCATGCCACCTCATCAATTTATAGACTATTATAACTAGTTTAAAATTATTATTTCCAGATCTTGTATGTTTCCTCTTAGCTTCTTTAGGATTATATAAATATCAAGCAAATACTAAAAAGAAATAATTAACTAATTCACTCCAAGTTTCGTCATAGCAACAAAGCCTTATGCTCTTTATCTTGGAATTTTTATATGCCGCAGCCTTCATCACTGCATTGCCCAAAATTTGGAAGCCTTCATCACTACTCGTCTCGTTTCATTCCTCCTAATCATCTTATTTGTAATCTTCATTGCGTCAGCCTTTTCTATATCCTCCTTTCTCGTTGAAACCAATTACTACCACATTTTTTTATTTCCATGGATCGCAAATATTGCCACGTTCCTTTAGCCTTAGCTTCATTTGGAATCTAGACCAGTAACCCGAATCTAACAGAAGAATAACAAAACATTCTATCATTATATTAGTTAAATGAAAATGATAACCTCAAAAGGTCACAATTGATTTGCAACTTCTTGAAAGGAAGAGAAAATTTGTACCATTCATTTGGGCACCAGATTTCAACAAGGTGATCCCATATTCAAAAAATTGAGATAAACAAGACTCAAAGGTAATCTCCTAGTTATCAAACACCATGGGTTCTTAGAAAAAGCGACACATGCATAACCCTTCATTCAACAAAATAAATTTGGAATGCACTAAATCAAATATACTCTAGAGTCCATGATAAGGCCAAAAATGAATGAGATCAAAATAAAGATCATGGCTACAAAGCAAGGAGGATGATTTATCACAGAATACTCCAATCTATTACAAAGCCTTGATAGATGATGGATTGCAATCAACACAAAGTACATACAAATGAATTATAGCAAAGATGCAGACCGCCTTGAATATTTTAAAAAAAAATGGAATTTATGATTTCTTTGTTAGATAAAATATTTAATTTGATGTTGTAAGAGCACAAATTCTCCGAATGGGGAACTTAAAGTCCCTGAATGAAGACATTGCCACTGTTTGAACGGAAAAAGAGTGAAAGGGAGTTATGATTACCAATAACCACAAAAAAGGTTCAACCATAATAACAAAGGCTTCAACATCAAACGCCCTGGCTCAAAATTATTATTATTATTATTATTATTTCTTTTTTTTCTTTTTTTTTGAGAAGCACAAACAACTACACCCAATAAATATGATAAATAGAGATTTCTTGCGAAGGCTCGACATATAAATGAAATATGTTAAAATCTTCATGTCCGAAGATGAGTCATTTTGTCATGTCAGGAACATCACGTGGAGTTACTCAGAGGCTATTTCCAGTTCAACATGGTACCCCTCATCAAATGTCTAGACATGAGAAATGAACCCTAGCTTTGTAATGGGCCCGAGGAGCTTGATGGGGACGAAAATTCTGCACTGGGATCCAGGTCCTATCTGTGGGGAGAAGGTGTCTCCTGAGGGGGTGCTAGTGAGAGTGGCGCAGCCAATCACAGATTTCATCACAAAATTGAGTTCTCCTCACATGTCTCTCAACCACCGCATGCTAGGCACGAGAAGTGGAAGGAGAAGATTTCAAATGTAAGGACTCGAGAGTTGCATTATGAGGAACCCCCCTCTATATGCAACTCATATTCAAGACGTATCAAAAGAGGATGGCTAAATACTCTACCAGAATGCGTTTTGGAATGACTGCACCGACATGATCAACCTGCAAGAGGACTTATCGTCGTACCATGAGAATCCAGAAACTTCAACGAATGAGGTTGAAACTGCCCAAAACCCCATGAGAGTGACACATGGATTTTCCTCTTCCCTCTTTCCTTTTTGTCCTCTCCTCACCTTTCTTTTCTCTTCCCCACCTATTCTTCCTAAGCACTTTCTAAATTTAAATCTTTTCCTAAAATATGAGATCCAATATTATTCTCTTCTTATTTTAAAAAGTTTTTTCTCTAAAATATGAAATCTGATTTTATTCTTCTTCTAATTTTAAAACCCTTGCTTTAAAATCTAAAATATGGTTTTACTTCCTTTCCTACGCCTAAATTCTGAAATATGGTATTATTCATTTCCTATTTTAATCTTTCCTAAAATTGAGTAAAGTATTTTATAAATAAGAGTTCTTGTGTCTAAGGTAAGGGTCTTGATTTTGAAATCGAATTTCAATTTTATCTGAGAATTTTCCCTCATAAGAGTTGTATCCGACGACAAGGAATGTGCTCCAGCTGTAACCCCGTCCAAGGCGGTGTTTATTTTCACTGTTCTTGTTATTGCTCGTTGTCCCGCAGTCCGCCGACATTCCAGCCACCCTCCAGCACCTCTAGCCACCTCCCTGCCATCCAACAGCAGCTCAACCTGCTTTGCTGCCCTCCCAGATTAGCATCTGTTCATTCCTACAGTCTCCCTGCAGGTTGTCGCAGCCTCAGATGCCCATCCAGCCCACTTTCTTGCAGGCCGCAGCCCCTGTTGTTCTTCCATACCGCCGCCAGTCGTTCCTGCAGCCTCCATGGGGACTATCGCAGCCCCTGCTACTCATCCAAACCGCTTTCCTGCAGGTCGCAGAGCCATTGTTGTCCTTTCAGCACCCCACCGGCAGCTTCCCAGCCATCCTGCCATCTGCCGCCTCCCTCCCAGCAGGCCGCAGACCTCCCCTAGGCATTTCCCAGCTCCTACCACCACTCCAGACTCCCTCTTCGTCGAGCTTGTTGTGCTTTCGTTTGTTGAGTCTTTATCTATGATGTTTTGTTTTATGCATTGACTTACGCATTGTCTTTCTTTCTTTTGAGTCATTGTTGTAACCGTGTTTAACTCATTAGTAAAATGGTGCGTTGTGGTTTGGGTTAAACTCTGATGTTGCTATTTTATGTCAATGATATCATCATAACAGATAGTGAATTAAAACGTATAGAAAATTTTAAAAATAGGCTAGTATAAGAATATAAAGACAAAGAATTAGATAAACTAAAGTACTTGCTTGGCATTAAGGTTGAACACTCTAGACATGGGATTTTTATATCATAACAAAAATGCATAACATACCTTTTGAAAAATATATAATTGGATCAAAAGCTCAATGAAATATAATCATAAACTGAAGATGCTCCAGAAGACGGCCATAAATATAACATTTTCTCAGAGACCTACTGCTCTCATACTAGACCATATATTGACCATGCTATTGGTTTTATGAGTCAATTCATATACAATATTAAAGAATCAAACATTCGGATTATATATCAAATTTTATAATATATGAAAAGAGCTGTAAGTAAAATATTTTCTTCAAAGAGGGGGAGAATATAGAACTTGGAGCCTATAAAAATTCCGATAATGCAAGATTTATGGTTAATAAGAGATCAACTTCAAGGTATTGCACATTCTTAGGAGACAATTTCATAAATTGGAGAAGTAAAAAAAAAATGTGATGGCAAGCTCTACTAAAGAAGCTAAATTTAGATTTATGATACTATAAATTTATAAACCATTATGGCTAAAAATTATCCTGAAAATTTTAAAAGTTGAATGAAGATGTCCTATGAAATTGTGCTATGATAATAAATCAGTCATCAATATTACAAAATCTTATGCAATATGACCATCTAAAACATATTGAAATAGAAGCATTTTATAAAAAATAAAAAAAAGTCTAGACAGTAGTCAGTATGTACTGCATTTACAGCCACAGATGGATCAACAGGAATAAATTTTCGAAAATTGGCATGCAAGCCTGGCATGCATGCATACAATCCATCTCCATAATTCCACTACAATCAATTCTGCCTCTATCAATACTCGACCAAACTCAGTAATCCTTCACCCTCCGTTTTTACTTCATCCAACTGCACTGATCCGAGATTATTTGTGCAATCTCATCAATCCATAGACGATTCTAAGTAATCTACAATTATTATTCAGTCACCTCAACAATTCATAAACTTTTGCAATTACTTTACACTTATTATTCCCTAATTTTATATGTTTCCTATAAAAAACTCTCCTAGGAATGGTACATTAATATTGGAATGAAAGAATCAATCTATTCTCTCCAATTCTTGGCATTAACCATTCAAAAAAAAATTCTCTAGGAAAAGAATATTATTAATAGTTCATTAACTATGCTGAAAACGCGCCTGTAACATAAAGGGGTTATGGAAAGTTATCGACTGCAAAATTTTATGATTATGCCAAAACATCCAAAAAAGGAAAAGAAAATAAACTTTCAGGAAGTCATATCTGTCTCTGAATCAGAAATGAAAAGATAACTATAAAATAAAAAAAGCACTTCAACAAGTTAAAGCAATTGAGGTCATGAAGAGAATATATAACTTGTAGAATGAAAACTTAGTGATTAAAATAGAAAGAAATATTGGGATTATAAGCTATTAAATCTTAAAACTATAAGATTATATGATTAGGCAAACTAAAGCTGTACGAGATTGGGGGTTGAGATACAAAAAGGATAAAAAAATGTAAGAAACGCAATAAATGAAAATATTATCTGGTAAAAGAATAAAAAAGATGTGCGAAAGGAGTAAATACAGAACTAAGTGAGAAAATTTACTGAGTGAGAAAAATTACCGAGGAAAAACTAATGACAAATCCTTGATGAAAATAATTTACACAAATAATTGGGAGTAAAACTACTAGTAAGTCTTTTGGATAAATAGTAGATTAAAAAAAGCTAGGTATGAAAATTGTAGGATTAACTAGCATATGTGTATAACTTATTCAAAAAGTTTTTACAAACTCTTTTCATCTCCATTGTTACTCCGACAAGGTAAGATATGCCGAAGATGACAGGAGTATGAGTTAAGAGATATCAGTTAAATTCTTGCCGGCGAGTAAAATTTGCAAGAGGAAAAAAACGGAACCATAGAAAGAAGCTATGATTTTGATATCGCTTCCTTTGCAGTGTGGATACAAAAACGAAAAAGTTCAATTAAACATATTTGAGATGCCAAAAGATACTTCTGTAGCACAATTCATAAACATACACAGCTTACAAAGGGACACACCAATGAAAATTGGAAACAAATGCAGGAACTTTTAATTAAATTAATATTGCTACATGTTTACGTACAGTGTCCTTTTATACCCTTTTTCGGGATGATTAAATTATTTGCATGGTTGAAAAAAGATCCAAGGAGCTCTTAATTAAGAATTAAATTGCGCTTCACCAATATCATCAAGCAAGACCAATTCATGCTTGGTTTCTTAGAAGAATTTAAATTCATTGCATCCAATATTAATAACAAAGAATCTGCTTGCATAGCATATACTTACATTCATTAGCCATATCAATAAAATCCACGACAATGATGCCACCAATATCCCTTAGCCGCAACTCTCGAGCAATCTGAAACAACAAAAAAGTTAGAAGCGTGTCTAAGAACTATATCATATACCTTCTTAGGGCCAAAAACTGAGCGGCTTCCTTCATCTTATTAGACAATTTTAAGAAGTATCTTCATTGTAATGCAAATCATCTTTAATTTAAGTTGACAAAATCAATGCCCAAATTACGGTTTGTAGGCTTTTGAAGTGAAGTAGCTTCCTAAAATAAAAATAACTAAACACCGCTAATGCTTACGCCTTTCAATTCTTGACTTAGCTTAACCGAACTTCCAATCAAACATGCCCTAAAAGACACTTCAAAGAACTACATTTGTTTTTAAGTGAACAGACTAAGAATGTGATGGAAAAATTATATAAAACAAATATAATTCTACCACATATTGTGATAGAATTATACTCACTAAAATTTAACCATCCAGCTCAGCTCCAACCACCAACACTACTCTTGCTGGGATTTTGAAGAAGGGTTGAAAGATAGATAATACAATGAAATATTATGATATAATTAGATGAGGGCACTTAAAAGACAAATTAAATTATTTTTATGGGTAAACTTCAGCAAGTTAAAATTTAAGATATTCATGAAGAAGTTGTAATATTGTGTGGGATAAAGTACCGAGTACTAATAAACAAGTTGCAAAAGATGTGATTGGGGAATCAAAATGAAAAACTTAAAGGGGATGCATAAAAGAGTGCAAATTATAGAGGAATTAAGTTAATGTTTCATTACATTAAAGTTATGGGAAAGAATAATTGAACATAGGTTACAACATAATAGAAACATTTCTCAAATTTAGTTTAAATTCATCCCGGGCAAGTCTACCATGGAAGCTATACATTTATTGAAAAGTTTGATGGAGAACTAGAGTGAGCAAGTAGATCTACATATTATTTTTGCTTATATAGAAAAAAAAACTTAAGATAATGTTCCAAAAGAAATACTTTAGAGAGTTTTAGAAAAGAAATGTGTTGATGTATTGATGTTACTTATATTTTATATATATATTAGCGTTGGTGTGTTCAAATAAAAGGAGTATTGACCGAATATTTTCCAAATTCAGTTGGATTACAAGGGGAATCAGCTTTAAGCACATATATTTTTTTCTTTAGTTAATAAGTTCTTAGTGGACATTTATTGAAGGATGTAACTTGGTGCATGCTTTTCGCTAATGATATCCTTCTTGTGGATAAAACGAGAGAAAATTCAAGAAAAACTTTATCTATGGAGGTTAACATTAAAACCTAAAGGCTTTCGTTTGAGTAGATCTAAAATTGAATACATGAAATGTAATTTTAGTAGTAGTAGATCTAGTGGCGAGATTATAACAATTGGCGATTAAATCATTAAAAAGAGTGAACATTTTAGACATCTCAGGTATATTGTTCAAATTGATGGTGATATAGATGGGGATGTTATTAGTAAAATTCAAATCAGATGGTTGAAGTGGAGGAATGAATAGAGCCTATTGTGTGATAGCAAAGTACCGCTTAAACTTGAAGGAAAATTTTATAAGATGGTGGTGAGACCTGCAATGCTTTATGGTGCAGAATGTTGGCCGGTAAAAGAGAAACATATGATTAAGTTAATTGTTGTTGAGATGAGAATGCTCTTGTGCATGAATGGCTTTACACTTAGAGAAAAAATGCGAAACAAATATATTTGTGAAAAGTTTGGACTAGCTCCAGCGACAGACAAGATCAGAGAGGTTCACCATAAATGGTTTGGTTACGAGTAAATCCTTTAAATTTGACTTCTGTGAAGAAAGGTAGAGGTAGATCTAAAAAGACTTGGGCATGTAATAGAAAAATGATTTTAATTTATTTGAATTAAATGAAAATACGACATTCAGTAAGACACAATGGAAAAAAAAGATTCATTTAGTTGACCCCACTTAGTGAAACAAAGGCTCGATGTTGTTGTCTTTGTTGTTGAACCAAGTTCTTCTCTCTCTCAACCAATTCTTCAATCAGTCTATGGCCGGAAATAATAAATTAAGGGAAAATAATATGAAATGCTCTAATGTTAAGGATCGAAATGTACCACATTCATGACTGATAATTTATGCCACTCTGTTGACAAGAATGCCTACATGTGGGCCAATTACAGGTAACCACAATAAAATCAAAGTCCAATAACCTGCTGCAGAAAAACAAATCTTTCAACGCCAAAACAACTAATCATTGGGCAGAAGCTCATTGTCAAAATTTTTGGATTAAACTATGAGACCATTGGGAAGGAAATGGTAGCACTGTTAAAGACGAGTTGTGAGCATGCCTAAAGCAGGGCCAGCTAAGCCCATAGTGCCTTTCACCACCTTGCAGGCAAGCTTCATCATTACTAAGGCAATCATTTAATAACACCTTGCCTTGCAATATATGCCCGTTATTCTAAAAATAAGATTAGGAATAGAGACGAAAATTAGCCATAGTGATTGATGGAAATACTTGAATGCCATTAATAAATTACAATTTTATTATGATAAGTTGGCATGAATAAAGTGAAAAGATGATAAGAATTTGGAGAAGAAAATAAGAGTACAAGAGTCTAAGTTTTCGATCAATAAATCTTAAAGATAGAGAAGATGGATCTAAGTAAATAAGGAAAAACAATGGCGAGCAAAAATTGTAATGATGGAAATGAACATGAAGGGCCTAAGAAAATAGAGGAAGACATGACATTGAAAAAGATGGTATTGAAAATTAGATTATCCAAAAGCTATTTGACACGGGGCTAGGTTGGATTGGTCAATCTAGCATGAAGGTGTCAGTCTAGCAGGGAGGTTGGACCGGCCAACCTTCTAATAAGACAAGAGTTACCGCCACCTTCCTACCAAGTATTTAAAATTCAATTCTCTTCCTAAATACTCCATGACTTTTCTAGTCCCTTCCTTTTCCGTCCCTTTCCTTTTCCATTACTTTTTGTTTTTATCTACTCTCACCTATTATTAAGAGGCCACTTTCCTAGCTTAGAGGAACAGTTGACTTGTTTTTTTATTTCAAAATTCTGCCTCCGGAGTTTCTGCCTTCTGAGGGTTGTATCGACGACGAGAAGTTACTCCAGTTAAATAACTCATTCGATATGATGACTATCCCCATTGTTCCTCCACCTTCCTGCAGCCGCTAGAAATCATTGATCTCCTCCAGCACCTTCTAATAGGCTACCCCTCCTCCCGCTCCCTTACAGCATGTTGTATCCCTCCTGCACCTGTCAAGCAAACTGCCAGCACCTGCTGCTACTTTCAGCATCGCAGCACCTGCTGCCAGTCCCTTTCCACCAGGCTACCACCACTCCTGCTCCCTACAGCACCACAACCACCTGCCGTCAACCCCCTCCCAGCAGACCGTCGCCACTCCTACCCTCTCCAGCACCACTGCCACCTGCTGTCAAATCCTTTCCAAAAGGCCAACACCCCACCCTACTCCTTCCAACTCTGTTGCACCTGCTTCCAACCCCCCTTCCAATACGTCATCAATCCCTGTTGATTCCTCTAGCACTAACACACCTTCCTCCCTTCCTTCTAGACTTGTCGCTCTCCCCTAGAGAGTCATTTGTGTTTTGTAGTCGTTTGTATTTTGTGCTATTTTTATTCTTATTTTGACAGTTTGCAAGTTTGTGTTATTTTAAGTTGAGAAGTTTTCGTTGTAACTTTTGAATTCAACAATAAATATTTTCACTCCATCATCGTTTGGGTTAAGAAAGGCAGAGGTAGACCTTGGAAGACTTAAGCTTATTGTATTAAAAATGATCTTAATTTACTAGAACTAAATGAAAATATGATACTAAATAGGATGCAATGGAGAAAAAGGATTCATGTAGCCGACCCCACGTAGTGGGATTAAGGCTTTGTTGTTGTTGTTGTAATCATCGTTTGGGTTAACTTTGATATCATTATTAAAACCAACAAACACAAGTAGTTTAATTGTGCCTATTTTTCAAATATTTTTTTACCTATTTAAAAATGTAGTAAGATTTATCAAACCAGGAATGCAAGGGCACTTCATCTCAAGAAATTAAAATTTTTTTCTCAAAAATTGCGCAAAAATTAACATTTTATTCTCAAAAATTGACCTCAATAAAAAAAAATTTTAATAGTTTAATTTTGATGTATTGATACAAATTTCTTTGACAGGTTACATTGATTTGTGTAGATTTTCGGAGGGAAAAATAATTATTCTACTTCAATTTCCAAGGACTCGGTTACAAGAAAAAAAACAGAAGAAGTATTTTATTGGGTGGTTTTCTGAAAGAGTAAAGTATTTTGTAGATGTCTAAGGATTATGTTAATTGCTTTAAGGTGTTTCTCAGGGAGAATGCATAAATTGACTTACCAAACTTACAAAAAATGTGATATTTGGCCGTGTATGTGATAAATATACCAAATTTCCCACCAATTTTTTATATCTAGTTGTATTATTGGGTTACCTTCCTTCTCATCTCCTAGTTTTTGATTGGGATCAATTGAAGTGTCTATAGGTCTACAACCACTCGTCTCAGTTTCTTTTAGAAAATCCAAAACATACTTTCGTTGGGAAAAAACAATTGCTTTCTTCGATCTAGCGATTTCCTTGTAAAGAAAATACCTCAAAGATTCTAAATCATTGGTCTCAACAACCAATGAGAGGGAAGTCAACAATTGGTACATTTCATATACGTCATCTGTTGTGAGAAATATATCATCCACATGCACAATCAGAATTTCTGAAAAACATTTTATGATCTCATTGCCCGTAAGTGTACTTTCTGGCCATTAACAAATACTTTAAATTTCTCAAACCGTGTTCTCGGTAACTATTTCAACCCATAAAATGGCTTTTTCAGTTACACACCTAGTGTCGAACTTCTCACTAAAACTTGAAGGAGCATCCACATATAATTTCTCCTCAAAGCCCCAATTGAGATATGCATTTTTTATATTCGGCTATTGTAGGGGCCATTCAATTTTAGTTGCAAGTGAAATAAGAAATTTATAGAGTTTAAATTTGCAACTGAGGCAAAAATCT